AGACAATGGGAATCGGTAAATCCGAGAAGATTGTATCGTTATCAGAGAACGGGACGCGTTCCATGCACGCGATTCCTATTGCGAAACGGATTATGCAATGAACGTAATAAGCGTCCAATAGTAGTAATGCCTCGGAACGATTTAAACAATTTATGTAACGAGCTTTCTATAGCCGACGGAGGCGTATCGAGGATCGCCGGAAGATCGATCGTTCCTTTCGCTTTCCGAGTAATCAATCAATTACCGCCGCGGATCAATTATCTGTTCGTTATGCTAGAAATGAAACATGAGAAAGAAAGGAACGCGGAGGAACGCCCACTCGAGCCGCGTATTAATAAAATCTGCGACCTTATTTAACAGGGAGTCCGTAGACGGGTGGAGGTAAATGAGTCGATCTGGTTTCGATTATTTAAAAACAATGTGGTTTATTTGAATCGCACAAGACATACACCGTATCTGCTATGTTTATAATTAGGGACTTCCCCGCGGAAAAGCCGGCCAAAGGCAATCGCCGGCTTTGGCCAGACTTTGCCCGAAGACGCCAGCGTTTTCGTATTGCCTTAATGTCGATCCTCGGTTTTAAAAGTGCTCCGAACGCCAGGTTTTCTTTTGTCTCTTTCTCTCTTCTCTCCTTCTCACTTTCTCGCCTCTCCGATCTTTGTCCCCTTAACTCGAAATAAAAACCCAGTGATGCCGTCTCTAGAAACCGAGCTTCGGATTAGTCTTTTTACCCTGGATCAGAAGATTTCTCGCTAAAAATCCAATTTCCCTGCTACCGATGTGCCGCTTTATTTGTTGGCCTTCCAACCCCCCTCCCCTCCCCAACCATACTCCCAACCGCGATCATCGTTGCGTGGCTCGGCCCACGCACCCCCGTCGCTTTACTATATTATAGGAAATACTTCTTCTTTATTTTAAGATTTATTTATTTAACTGTCTAGATACTTCAATTCGCTATACTTCCGACATTCTTTCCTCATTAATCTGGGATTATCTTTTACCATCTTTAGATTCTTTTACTCGATTTACCCTGTGTAGTAACGTTGGATGTCGACCAGCCGGACACGGGCCGGGCCCCGCGAAACGATTCGGTCGCTTTTTCTTTTTTTGTCTTTTGCCGAACGATCGCGAATTTTCTCCGGTGACAACAGCTCCTTCGCGATTCTTCTCGTCTCGCGGGGCTCCGTTGCTAAATCGTGTCCAGCCGGTCAGATCGCCCGTCGCGAGATTTGCGTGTGTGATTGAGTTCTTCTCTTTGTTCGCTGTTCGTGAGGCAGGGAACTTGGTCCTGTGTAGGATGAATTCGAATAAGAAAGACGAGGGGAAAAACTAGTGGAACGATGACGCGCTGCGTTGGCGGTTTCGAGATTTCTCTGCGTTTCGACCTCTCGTCGCAACGAGGAAACCATTTGTACCGGCGATCAACCCTTCCGACGCTGCACCCGCTATTGTAGTCACCAGTTATAACCAGCTGAACTCACTGTGGCCGACTGTGGTCGCCGAAGTCCGCTGAAACTACAGTCGCGCTCTGATTTTAATAAGACGGAAGTTGTTTGGTCTGTGTCTCTTTTTGGGCTCCGGGATCAAACAATTTGTCACAAAATTGAAACTTTGCCTCGTGGGTGTACCAACGACTGTTTATGATTGTGTACAGTGTCTGTGTGTAATGAGATCTCGATAGTTGAACGACTTTTGTTGCGATTCTCGTGGATCTATCGCATTGTCCGAAAATTTGCTCGATTGTTTTTACGGAGTCGCTAAATAATTATAAATTAATATTTTTTTAATTGGTGTATCGTTGTATATAGCTAGTATTAGCTCGTACAGTGTAAACGAAATCAAAGGAAAGTGATTCATTTGTTTCACATTCGATTCTAACTTAAACTCTCCAGATATGTTAAATTAAATCATCGATTTTCAATGATCGATCTTTTCACTTTACGTATCTGTGACTAGTGAGATTGTTTGTTTTACGTTTAAAAAACTGTCGATCATGCTGTTCAATTAGCTGTTCAATTACTATTTTCTATGAATATTTTCGAAGATATTTGACGGTCTTCTCAAAAATCAAAATACGACCGTACCAGATGCAACTATCAAGGTTTCATCATGCGTCGACGTGTTTCGCGAGCAAAGCCGGCCATCATGGAGCGGTTAATACGTTTTTTTCACCGTGGTTTCCTTTTTGGTCAAGAGGTCTGCGTCTCGGTTCCGATTCGAAGACGATAGAACGCGGATTCGAGTCGTTCGATTACGATGAAAAAATTGATGCGACTGATAGTAGTGATGATTTATTTATTTCTCGAGTTCGAATAGTGACGACATTCGTCTGCCTTATTCTCCGCCCGGTTCTCCACCTCATCACCGTCATTCCTTTCTATTCTCTCTCTCTCTCTCTCACTCTCTCTCTCTCTCTCTTTCGTTCGTTCTCTCGCTCACGTTCTCTCTCTCCCTTTCATTCGCTACGGGCAGTGCCATTATTTACAATATCGTATAAACGGAGCCTTGCATGTACGTATTTTCGGAATCGATCTAACAAACTTGCTTTCTCCCCCGCCGCTTCATTAAACTAGATAACGAGATTTTTTATCTAGGGCCGTACACGTCTAACACCGAGACAACTATGTTGATATGAGTTTCCTTTTTTTTCCTTATTTAAGTACTTCGCACGTCGCACCGGGTTTCACGCGGACAGAAGAAGAAAAAAAAAAGTTCACGCATTCGCACGCGGTTCTCTTTTCGGATTTCTCGCATTCGCTCGAAATTTCACATTCGCGATTCTCTTTCTCTGTTTTTAACGAGCACGCACACACTCTTTTTCTCTCTCTCTCACACACACACACACATACACGGAAATCGAGAGATGCACGCACACCCGCGCGCACCTCCGAGTCGTGTTCTCTTCGGTCTTCGAAGTGATTTACCTTATTGCCTAGATCATTTTTTTTTTAGGAACAGTCCCCTTCGAAAACGTTTACAACGTGGCGTTTTTAGGACGAACGAAGGAAAGTCGAAGGACGAAAAAAAAACCATCTATCCATCTCCGTGGAGAACAGAAACTATATACCGGTTAATGGAACGCAAAATGAAAAGGACAAAATAAAATACACGATCGACCTCCGAGGCGACGACGGGTCTCGCGTCGCTCGTTTCTCGTTTTCGTTTACCTCAGTCTCTTGGGCGAAAGGAAAGAACAAAAGAAGGAAAAAATAATAATAATAATATAAATCGTCAACCAACCGGCGGGCGGGATCCAAGCCTCGCGGGTACGCGATTTTCGCAGGATCAACGGATTTCGATCCAGCGAAAGCCGCGCGCGGGCACCCGTTAAATCGCGACAATAAATATAACCAACGAACAAACGCGCTTGTAACGATAGCGTCGGCTCGATCGCGACGGTGGCCGTCGACGAGGATTCTCGCGTTTCACGTCTCTGTCGCCGGTGGTCTCGCGAGAGAGAACACCGCCGGTTTCCGTAAATCGCATGCTTCCTTTTTTTTTTTAAAATGATCGTTAGAAATTTTTTTAGCGTTACTGGCAGGTAACGATATCTCGGAGCTACAGAAAATCACTGATGATCGACGGACACCTCGCGCGACGCCGCATTCGCGCCGATAAACCTAAACAACTTTGGCATCTTCTTAACCATTTAAAACAGCTTTCGGTAATAATTTAATATCGGGATAAAATAATGAAGACGGCGCTCGCACTCGCTGCGAACCGCGTTAATAATAGTGGCAATGAATAATAGCAATAATAATAATAATAATCATGGTAATAATAATAATAATAATAATAGTAATAATAATAATAATAGTGTCAATAATAATAGTAATAATGACAATAATAATGAATAATATTAATAGGCTATAATAGAAATGGTATTAATAATTAATAGTGGACAATAAAGTCAATAAAAGTACTATGTATATGATACATTTTACATTAGGATCGAGCTAGAGCTTAGAATCTAAGACGCAGCTTTACACATGGTTTTTCTGGTTTTGTTTAAACGTACGTCGAGAGTACTCACGGTATCCTAAATCGTCATCGATTTAACAGAGTTCTCGGGATATATCGATGTGTCGAGTTATGTACATGCAGTGTCGTCGGAGTCGCCGATTATTCTTTCTCCGCCGCGGAAAGAAACGTTTTCGTTTCGTTGGACGCAGAAAAACGAGAAGAAGAAGAAGAAAAGGAAAAACCGAAGAAAAAAAAAATGGTAGCGGAAAGAAAAAGAAAAGAATACAGGAGCCGCGTCGATGTCGATCGACGCGCAGCGACGACGCCGATATAATGTACAAAAAGTTTTCTCCCGTTTCCCCCGTCGCTTCCTCTCTCTCTCTTTCTCGTGTCTTTTCCCATTTGTCTCTAATACATACAGAGTGGTTGCAGGTCTCCATACTATATAACGTAATCCACGTACACGTACACATACGCTGCGCGCGCTCCCGCGCACGTTTATTACGTTACACATTATGCGCAATATATTTATCATTAAATAAATAATCTTCAAATGCGATAATAAAGTCACTATGTTCATTATCCTATGTATAATATTTATATTCTGTATAATTTGCATTTTAGATCTCATATTTATATTTATATATATTTATATATATATATGTATATGTTTATATATATATTATATATATATTATATATATTATATATATATAATATATATGTATATACACATAAATATTTATAATTTATATATATATTCATATTTATAGCGTCTTTATTTATAACTATTTATAAGGATATACTTTAAATAACTGTGCTGAGACTCGCAAAAATGGTAACCATTCGTTTCTCGTTTCTAGTTGAATCAAGAACGCGGAGTAGCTCTCATCGAGTACCTTCTCGCTCCGTCATCGAACCGTTTTCCGGTTCGATCATCGTCGTCCTCGTCCTCGTCGTTTGGGCCTTCGCGGCCTCGAGGGTCTCGTTGTTCTCGTGCTCCTCCATCAGGGACCGTTTCCAGGTCCGTTCTCGATCGGTTATACCCTCGCCGACCTACCACCTCTCTCCTGATCCTGAGAGGCGACCTCGGACTGTCCGGGAAAGATCCTGTGCATCACGATACTCCCTCGGTATCGGACGACATCCATGTCCATCGGTCCACGATTGGGACCCACTGTCTCTGATCGGACACCCACGTGTTCCCCAGCCTGTTGGCTTCTCTACTCGTACCCCGTGTCTGTTCAGCTCTCCCGAGGAAGAAGATCCCCTGTTCAGTACACCGGGTAGGGCGGTCTGTGCGGCCACAGTGGCGGGATCGGCGGTAGGCTTCCGTTCCAAGATCAAGTGTCCTTCGTGCTCAGCGAGGAGTCCTCGTCCTGACTGGCCGGGTACGGCATGCCAAGCTTAGGGCCCTGTTGCACCACCACCACGCACTTCCGCATGTGTTTCTCGAGCGTGCTGGGCACCGAGAACGGCATCTCGCAGAATCGGCACTTGTACGTGTCCTTGCCGTGGCGGCCGTGTGTCTTCATGTGCCTGGTCAGTTTGGAGCTCTGTGCACAAGCGTACGAGCACAACTCGCACTTGTACGGTTTCTCGCCGGTGTGCGACCGCCTGTGGACCGTCAGGTTCGAGCAGTTCTTGAACACCTTGCCGCAGTACTCGCACGTGTCGTTCCTCCCGCTGCGCTCCTTCTTCAGCAACGGGCTCGGCAGGCCCTGCAGCGCCAGGCTGGACGTGGTGGCCTTGGTCACCTTGCGGAACTCGTTGTTCTCCAGATAGTGCGGGCTCGGCAGCCAAAGGCCGCCGAAGTCGGGCCCCGAGGACCTGGGAAAACCCTGACCGGAGAATATGTTAGGTGTGGTCGAGGAATTGAAGTTCGTGGGCGACAGCGCGCTGTCTTTCTCCTTGTTATTGTTCAGCGAGTTGGTCAGGTTCGACGGCGACTCCGTCTTGATGAACACGCCCCGATGGTTCTCCTGCAGCGCCTGCCGGTACGCTTCCGAGTACTGCGCGATGTTGCTCAACCCGAACTTCTCCATAAGGTCGCCGACCAGGCTAACAGGCTTCTGGTCGACGCGGCCGCCGCTCTCCTCGCCGCTCTGGCCTTGGGTGGTGCTCAGATCCTCGGGCGTGTTCTCCTCGGTGTCCTCCCTCTCCGCCTTCGGCTGGATCTCCTCCGCCTCGTCCAGGTCCATGTTCTCGTCGCAGCTGGATCCGTCGTCGGGTACGGTGTCCAGGCTGCCTTGGGGACTGGCGGCGTTCAGGTTCTCCTGATGCTCCTTCCTCATGTGCTTCCTAAGTTCCACGAAGCTGGCCACCTCGACCTCGCAGACCTCGCACCTGGCGGCCGTCGTCTGCCCGTCTTTCGCGTTTTCCTGATGGTACTGCCTCTCCTTGTCCCGGTGACTCCGCCGGTGCACGTTCAAGTTCGACTGGAATCGAAACTTCTTGTCGCAGACCTCGCACGTGTAGATCGTCTCGGACGCCGAGTCGGCGATGATCGGCGTCAAGGCGACCGGCGGGCTCGTCTTCTCGCTATCGGTCGAGTTGTTGTTGTTGTGGTGGCCGACCGGGCTCTGGTTGTAGCAGGGCGGCGAGTTCTCCTTCTGATGGTTCGCGTGCGTGATGATCGCTGTGTTGTTGGTCGCCGGGTTCGCCGGCTCTGCCGTCTGCGCGTGGTTCTGAGCTGGCTGTGTCTGCTGCGGTTGTTGTTGTTGTTGTTGCTGTTGCTGTTGCTGCTGCTGTTGCTGCTGGACGGTGCTTGACACCGGTACAGCCGGCACCGGCACTGCCGGCACCGGGGCAGGGGGATTAGAGTTCGTTGTCGAGTTCCCGCTACTTGGTGGAGCCGCGCCTAAGGACGGATTAGCGAGGCTCCTTAGGCGCGCCGAGTAAAAATCCAGGTTGGCCTCAAGCGGAGGAGGATGTGCCTGACCGGCGAGGCCGCGACCATGGGACAGTTCGGCGAGGTTCGCCAGGTTGCGGGCGTTGTTCAGCGAATCCAGGGAGCTGCGGACCAGAGGGTCCCCGAGGTTCAAGCCGTCCATGCCTCGCAGCGGGTCGCCGAGGTTCTGCAGGTTCCTGGTGGCGGTCTGGAGTTCCTGCAGGCCTCTGTACCCGGCCAGTGGATTCAGGGCCAGGAAGTCTGGCCTGAACATCGGCGGAAAGCTGCGCTCCAGGTGCTGAGGTAGCCTCAAAAAGCTGTGAAGAGGGTCGCCGACCAAGGACGCGGAGGATTGGAGCTGTTGTCGGGTGCCGCTGCTGCCGCTCGAGTTCGTGCCGCCGGAGGAATTCGCGACCGACGAGCTTCCTGTCGACTTTACGCTGAGGTTCAGGTGATTCGGCGGGCTCAGGTGGTGGGTGTGCGTCGGGGTGGGCGTCGGCGGGCTCGGTGCCGGCGTGTTCGACGACGAGTTCGTGGAGGCGGACGGGGAAGTGTAGAGCCTGGCGCCGTGGACGCTCTGCACGTGCTGCAACAGCTCCCACGCCGACGACAGCCTTCTGGAACACTGCGAGCACTGCAGCCATCTCGGTTCTGGAACAGACGGAAGCCACGTTGGATTTATTCGATTCGTCGCGGCCGCAGGAAGAAGCCGCGATAACGCGGCGAAAGCAGATTATCGGATGATGATATACGCTCGAGTATAGAGTCGTGAATAGCGTCGAACACCGGGGACAGGCGACACGTTGGACACGTACGAAGAGACCCCACTATCAATTTCCGTGGCACCCTTAATTTCGCGGAATCGGGATTGAAAATCGGCCGCAGATTGAATTCGGAATTCAAACGGCGCGCCTGTGTCAAATTGCTACGGTGGGGGCTTAAAAATAATATCCCCGAGAACGATCTCTCTGTGGGGCGTGCGGGTGGAGACGCGGCCGATGGGGATCGGTTGCCGCAAACGCCCGCTGAAACTGACCCTTAACGACTTCTCGACCCCTCCACCCGCGCGAGCCTCGAGGGGCGCGGAGAGGGACGGGTTTTGAATTTCAATGTTTTTAATCCGGAATATCAGATTTTCGGCCATTTTTCACGGTACCGCAGCTCGGAGCCCCGGGTGTCCGTGGGATTTTATTAATTCGAGGCCACCCTCCGCGACCGAAGACGAAAAGAGGGCCGATAGGAACACGCCGGAGACCGAGATGGCCCCGCCATGTGTTCGAGGAACGACCCCTTATTTCGCGGCTTCGAAACGACGTCGAACGTAACCTCGGGAACATATTCGCAGACCCCGCTACCGCTTCCGGACGTTGGGGGCGATCGTGACTTAAATTTACGTCTCCGAGAGGAACACCGGCGCGCGAGACGTGGTCCGGGGTCGATGCACATTTTCAAGAGGTCTCCCTTACTTCTTTTTTCCTTCCTCTTTTTTTCGGAACCGCTCGCGGTCATGGACAAGTAACTGCGCCATTCCCACTTTACGCAAGGAAACGGCTGACTGCATAATTTATGGCCTCGAGTGCCGCTATGATTTCTTCGACTGGCAAGGATTATTTCGCGGAGCCGTTTTTCCCCGCAACCTTCATTTTCTCGTGTAACCGATAACGAGACTGTCGATTTCGGAACCGAGTGGGCAGAACATCGAGCGATTTTCAGAATATCGTTTTCACGTTTTTGGAGTAGCTTCGTTGGATTCGACGCATTCGAGAATGTTCAGTGCTGCTTTCAAGCTTCTACATAATTCAGTTCGGTTAAATTAAATAGAAAGAGACTTGTGTTTTATTTATACGTCACAGAGTTAATCGTGGCATTTGAATCTTATGCGATCTTCTTCGTGATTATATTTCAACGAGACTCGTGTATCGCATCTTTGCTTCAAAACTGACACTGCTCGAAAATATTAATGTTTTTACACAGGATACAAAAAGGCAGACGTTCCCGCAGAGAACTCTTAGCAATAAGAGCGACACAGTTGCCGACCGACGGCCGATATGTCAAGGTTATGTCAAGAAGAAGAAGTACACTTTCTAAGATCGGTTCACGCATGTTTCTGCAGCATCAATTTTAGCGATAACTAGAAAAAGACTTTGTCACTTTTGAAACACGAATGCGGTATCTTGGATTAGACGCCATAGTTGTAGTAGTAGCGTATGTATGAATAATGAATGATTCAATAATTGTGACACCGAACCAATACAAATTGATGCGCAAGTTTCAAGTTCCGGAAGTCGGCTTCAAGATCCTGGGAAGGTGGTATTAAAAACGACGAAAGGAGGTATCGCGAATCGATGAGTTTCTCCTTCGGCGATTACAACATCAGAGTCTAGACGTTGTTTAAAAGTTTCCGGTCGAGCCGGGCGCGGAAAGCGACGCGAACAGAGCAGTCTGGACGAAGATTAAAAAGTTCGGGGGCCGTTTCTCCACATTATGCCGTTCCCGGAGCGACTTAACAAACGGAAAAGAAAGATTGACCGGAAACAAAGGGCGTCGGAAAAATAAAGCACTCCTAATTAAATGGCCGTTCGAGATTGGGGGAGATCTTTGTTGCGCCTGAAAGTACCGGGTCGAGCGTCTTAAAGCCGAGCTTCTGCTAAATCGGAGTTTACGCGAGTTTCTGCGACTTCTCTCTCGGCGTCGTTCCGAGAACAATGAATCGAAAGGGGGACAAGGAGAGGGCGAGAAAGAGAGATCGTCTCGATCGGTCGTCAAATTTTTCGTAGGCCCCTGTACGATTTTAATTATGGAATTCTCGGCGGAGAGTTTTTCCGTCGGACACCTGGAGAATGCAAACCGATGGTTCGATACATGAATCACGTTTCCTCGGATGCCAGCGACAATGGGACACGTAAACAATGAATCCTAAATTAAATTAGAATCAAGACGGAGACGTCAGGCTTATAAGTGATAGGACACCACGCGACAATACACAATGGAACACATATCGCCGGTTGTAACAAGGTGCTAAGTAGAATAACGAGGCTGACGGTGGGCGACGGATTTTTCTTCCCCGCCTCGCTGACCTTTCACCACGATTACGCTCTTGCGTTTACGCGTCGCGGCGAGAAACGCGCGCGGAATTAGACGGGAACATACCGCGATCCCAAACAGATGAATCCCCTTTACCAGGAAACTATTCCCTTGGAAATGGCTTCGAAAGATGCTTATCATCGCCGACGCACAGTAAACATTCTCTTATTCAAATCGCTACAACGCTTTACAAATTTGTACGGCGCCTTGGATACTCAATTACAACGATTCATGTCAATTTCTTCAATTCGATATTCGAGAGAGTTAGTTGTTTTCTGTGTTACGTCTCCACCGAATTCCAGCCGGAAGCTTCATTAACTATTATTTCACGAACTGCAAGTTTACTCGTGATAAAATTGATTATTTACACAGACTTCATATCTTAAATCGCCTCTGGTATTTTAAAAAAATCTGTTACATGATTAACAAAGATATGAGAATACAGAATAATAATATGTTGCGGATTGTTCATTGCTTCGTTAAGTTTTCAGTGTGATAAAATGATGTCAAATTTTGAACATTTTTAATTGTTTTCTGAAGATACTTTTCTCATCTTGCAACTCCAACTGTTCTAAAAAAACTAGTCTACGAAGGTTATGCGGCGTCAATGATAAAAATTGAGTGCAATTCAAAGTGGTAGACAGATTAAAGCTGTTCACGAATTGTCGATGTATTAGTTTCAGCTTATTAAAATCCTTGATGATAGAAAATTGTGATTCTTGTTTCTTGCAATCGCGTCGCGAACGATGTTTATTTTCCATAAAAAATCCGTAGCGTATTAACGACCAATACCAGCAAAAATTCCTATCAGCCGCTTGCATCGAAGCTAATTTCCAAATTCGAAGAAAATCCGGGCTGGCTTGTGTTAAAACTTTCGAAGACAAAAGGCCGCCGAGACAAAAGATCGGCGGATTGAAAGACGTTCCACTCTTATACGAGGAAAAACACGTAACTCACAGCGGGCGATCGATTGGTCCTTTCCGTCGGTAAATTTCAGGCCGAGCCGAGGACGAAGAAAATTAGAAAGTTTGTGAAGGGACGAGTCACGCAACAAACGAGGGGTCATCCAGCGATGAAACCGTGAAAATTTGGCATATTGTTTCACGCCTCTGGCCTTGTGGCGCCCTTCGTCTGTCGACCGGAAGTCGAAAATATTGCCAAGTTCCCTTCTCCGACGGAGAAAAAGAAGGGGACCGACGGGAGATAAGCAAGTGCTCCGAGCATAATAAAGGTGTATCGATTCACGGCCGCGCGGCTTTTCATATGCAAACGTCGCGCGGGCGGCCATCCGTTAGGATTATTTCTTTAGATTTTCCGCGATCTTCTATGGGGAACACCCCTTCGAATAGTGGGACGCATCGATCATGATTTATGGAACGAAATTCCGCGGGGTAAAAACTGGAACACGTATAGTGAATACCGTGAATTGAAAATTAATGAACGGTGATAAATGCGGTCCGGTGAACCTCCTTTGCGAACCGGGCTGATTAATGAACCCTCGTGGATCTGTCCACTTAATAGGAAACCAGAGTGTTCGGCTATACTCGTGAAACAATCGTCGGTTAAATTTTAAGATCATTCCGAACGATTCTTATACCTGGAAATTGAATTTTATCGATATTACTGCACAGTCCTCTTTGCGAATACGAATTTAATCCTTACGCATGAGAAATCTTTTTTACTGTTGCGCTATATAGACTGTTAATAACAATATCTTTAATTAATTTTAACATTGAAATTTAATCGAAATGAGAGAGACTGGTCCCAAATTTTCCATTTTAAAATCACTGAAATTATGGAAATTTTCTCACAGAATATGCTATAATTAGACAGCGTGTTTTTTGCATTTATAGCAAAAATGAGTATTCGAAATACGAACCTGAAAATACTTTAAAAACGTTTAAGAACACTAGCATATATTACTTTTGATATAATGACATTATTAAAAAAAATGTTTATCCAACTTCTGTTTCTCACACTTGACATAGAAACAATTTATTTTGCACAAAAACCCGCAGGTTAGTTATAATAAAAATGGCACAGGTTTTACAAAAATTCAGTGTTATTATTCTTATGAAGCAAAAAAAAACGTCAATCGTTTTTAGTGCTCGTGCATTCTAGTGTTAATAAACGGGAAACAATGTCGCGATGTTTTAATTCTACAAATGCTTTTCGTACTTTATATCCCCATTTTTATCATAAATGCATAAAATCCGTTCGTGATATCTTTCAGCGATGTTTTCAGTCTCATAAAAATATGAAATAACAGCAGCATCTCGTGAGGACTGAAAACAATCGCGGTAAAAAGAAGTTACGCCGACAAGAAACGAGAAAGTTAAAGGGAGAAGATGCACGACCCGCGTTCGGAAAATTGAAAGAAAAAGATCAACGTTTCAAAGATGCACTGCACCGTAATTTTTCGACGTGCTCGGCGGACCAAAAGTTGAATTCCAGCGGGGACACATCGGGGCATCGAATGCACAATATGGCCACATACGAATCATGGTCCTCCGTCTCTCGCGACAGTGACCGAACGATTTTCCTCAGAAATTGCCCGTCAAATTGGC